GGCGCCCGGCTCGGCGGGCAGCCTGGCGCGGATCCGCGCCGACCACGAGCGGGCCCTGCGGGAGGCCAAGGAGACGCTGCAGAAGCTGCCCGAGGAGATCCGCAGGGACATCCGCCAGGACAAGGAGAAACTCGCGCAGGACGCCCGCGGCAGGAAGGAGGCGGCCGCCGCGGGGCTGCCCCGGCGCCCCTTCCGCCAGCCCGCGGGCGCCGTGGGGCAGGAGCCCGCCGACCCCGCCGTGCGGCAGCGCAGGGACAAGATCAAGGAGGTGCGTGCCGCGCAGCGAGCGCGCAGGGAGCGCCCCGGGGCGCAGCCCCGACGGAGCGGCCGCAGCCCCGCGCAGCACCGGGGCCGCCGCCGTCCTGCGCTCCCCGTGCGGGGTTTTCTTTTATTTCCCCCCTCCGGGCGCGGTCGCGAGCGGGTTAGGGGTGCTCCGAAGTTCGTGTGGCCGCGCGGCTGCCCCGCGCGTGACAAGTTCCTCTCAGCTCTGCCCCGTGCGCGGCGCCCTCGAGCCCCTTCCCAAGGGGCTCCTTGCGGAAATCCCGCGTACGCGGTGCCTCAGAGAGGGTCTCAGCGGGGCTCCTTCGATAGGGTTTTGCCTGGTGCGCAGCCCAACTTGCCCTCCTTACTGGCTGCTTTTTTCATCCCACATCTGGTTGCGGGGATCAGGGTTGGTGAATTAGTGGCTAGTTGCCGTGTCCCCTCTTCCGCGGGGACGGGAAAGGGACGGGAGAGAGGCTGAAACTCGTGCGTATGTGTTTGTGCGCTTGCACTGAGCGGTATGAGGAGCGAGCACTGACATCACCCACATGTCAAATAACAAGCACTTGCACGTCTCGAGTTGGGGCTTTGGAGTCCTCTCCGCAGCTCCAAGTGCGTTAGCGAACAGCGCAGTGGTCATGAGCAGGGGATGCCAGTGCGGAGGTGTCTTGAGGGGAGAAGCTCTCAGTGTGTGTTACAGATCTGGCGAAAAGTGTGTGAGAGACTTATCTCCTTTTCACTGCCACACGCAGCCTCCCCGAGCCACATGGAACAAGTAAAAGTACCGGCAAACGGGTTTTCCAGGGCTCTGGAGTTGCCATTCTGGACTCTTCAGAGCGGTGTAGCTGCTGTGCTGCGTTTGGGGTGGGAAGGAGCTGGCACTTCCCGTGCAACAAGTAAATAAGCTGAGGGAAGAAGGTAGAACTTAAGTATGTTTCTGCTTTTTGCTATGGCAACTAGTCCAACTATCCTTTAATATACTGAAATACATACATTTGTATKTGTGTGTCTGTACATATACATACTTAAGTACATAAATACCCTTGTACGTCTTTCCATCCCATCACTCTTCTTTCTTGCCTGTTTCCCGCAGCAGCCCCTGACAGTCTAACAACCCCCCAAACCAGATRTCTGGCAATGCAAGCATAGGAAATGACAGAAAGACTGTGCGGAGTTTTCAGATCTCTATTTTCTTCATGTCTTAGTATGTTTAATTTTATTTCTGTTACTTCTGGGAGTTTCCTCTCCTGATTTAGTATCTGAACTTAACATAGTGCTTACTTCATCATTCTTCATTTCTTTCTTTCCTTTTCTGAAGAGTAAGCCTTGCTTTTATTTTTTCTCCCTGACATTAAAACAGTGTTTCCTATTCTKTGTTAACTTGTTTTCTTAGATACCCATTGTTACATATATTGCTGCTTTACTGCTGTTTTTGTTCTGTTACTATTTTCCATGTCTTTCCAATGCCTGCTACACTTTTTTTTCTTTTTAAATTGTATCTTTACTGGCAAGTTACACTTCTAATCTACAGGGCTTTTAGAAATAAATTGTAACTTTTTTACAAGTCTGAACTTTGTATTCAACTGCGCATGCAGGCRGGCTGAGGGAACCGCCAGCTCAGGATCCCTCTCAGGTTGCCTTGCGCTTGCAAGCAGGTGGCGCAAACTTTGAAGGCTCTTTCTGCTTCTGTGGCCTCTTGAACCCAAGAGAGTCCCACAGAGCTTGCGGAGCGGCGAGGCGGGCACTGGAGGCCCCGCTGCCCCGTGGCAGGATGGTGCCGCGGTCGGAGCCGTGTGCGCGGTGCCGCTTCCGCAGCCTCCTTGTGCCCGCGCAGCCCCTCTTGGGGCCTGAGCCCGTTGCGAGTGGGAGCCCTGTTTCTCCTCGCAGGAGGAACTGCACACGGCCGTTGGAAGGAGATCTGGCCGTGCTGCCTGCAATGAAGTTTGCCCAATACTTCCTGTTATAAACTGCTGTTGGTTGCTGTTGACTCCGCTTTTTTCTGCCTTTTTTTTTTTTTTTTTTTTTTTTTTTTTTTTTTTTTTTTAATGGCTGTTCTGATGTTGCCTGTACTGAGTGTCTTCCTCAGGCCAAATGTTTCAGGAAAAAACAACCCCTTTCAACAAAGCGGTACAGCTGCTTTCGAGCATATCAGCAAGGAGTTGTGTTCTGTTAGTCCCTGAGCCCTCCAGGCCAGCTCAGCGATGCTCTGGAGTCTCCGTGCCATGGAGCAGGGTCTGGTACCACCACCATCTCATGCGAGTTGCTGGTTTTTTGTGTCCTGCCTGGAACCTGGGGCTGAATGAGGAGGTTGTGGTTGGTGTTGTTGTTCTGTCACTCAGTCACCGACTAGCTAGGGGTAAAGGAAGGTAATGGAGACTCTGACCATGTTTTGGTGTTTCTGATGGGAACAGTCCTTGTCTGGCTGCAACCAACAGTGACATCAAGAATAACACCAGAAATGGATTGCAAATGCATAGGTAGTATGCAAAAGGTGACAGTTTGATGTGAGCTGAAGCAGTGATTAGCAGAGGACAGAGAAATCRGAGATGGGCTGGGAAGGCAGGAGATGCACTGTTTTGGTTAGGGAAATCTGACTGAATCTTTTGCAAGTCCAAACTCTCTCTCTTGGGAAGAGGCTGGGGATAAAAATAGTGATTGAATTATTTAGGTATTAGAAAAATAACAAAAATTGAACTCTTTCATTTCAGAGAAAAGGACTTGAAAAGGATGAATGAGCTAGCTCAGGTACTAGGAGCAATATAATCACATTAGCGCAGCACTCTGCTCAGGCTAATTAATCCTGCTGAGCAGCGAGCTCGTGGTGTTGGTGGAGCACCATACTAATGCAGCCGTGCTGCTCCTGAGCCGGGCGACCAGCTTGGGTGCTCGGTGCATTACTGTACGGTGCTGTTGAGGCGTGGGATAAAAGCTGCCTTGGCAAACTGGAACCCCATGCCTAAGTTATGTGATTGTGCTCCATATTCTTTCCAGCACTTCAGTCACTTCCACATCTTTTAACCCTTGTGGTCAATGAGGTAGAGGTCCCGGATGAGAGAGACTAATGCACTAATTCTGTTGTCGTTACTAAGCATCAAACCCTTGAGCTGGACAGTGCTGTGGTTATGAGGCAGCAAAACAGACTTGGCAGATGGAAGTTATCTCATGCTGTCTTTGAAGCAAGAGCCCAATTGAGGCTGCATTAGCAGCGTGAACTCTGGAGCTTCCTACATGCTTGTTTTGTTTGTTTAGTTTCACCATTACTTGTTTTCTGTGGTGGCAGCTTAATTGGAAAGCAGTGGAGTAAGTAAGAAGGCTTAGTAATGTTGCAGGGAAAATCAGAAATATCTGAAAAGGGGAAAAACAACAGCAACAAAACCAGAATCCTCGTGAGCTTGAGAATAAAAAATAATCAGAGATCTCATGTGGACTTGACCAGCAGGACTTGAGTGTGATGGRAACTCCCTGATAACAGAGAAGCGTGAAGGTAAAAGTGCACTGGGCAGCTCATCACTGAGAAAGGGCCCTCAGCTCCMTGTACCTTCCTGCACACTGGCACTACTTGTTCTTCTGCTGGTACTGCTGGCCTGGGGGGATCTCATGGGAACAGTAGGTGTGAAGAACAAGACTTCTTGCTTTGGTTTGGTTGCCTTGGTATGTAAAGCTGGTAAACTCACTGAACCAGCAGAAAGGTAACAGTGAGAAGAAGTTGGATAGTTCCTTAGAATGTTGTTGAGTCAAAGCGGTTAATGGAAGAGTCCCCTCCATGCTTCTTTCTGCTGTACCTCATGGAGGAAACAGGTGGAATGAGAAAGAGGAACAAAGCCCTTCCTTTCAGGAGGAAAGGAGGAGGTGGTTTGAGGAACTTATCTGACCTACCTTGGCCCTTAAGTTGGAGTCTCCACCATGTGACCTTTGCAGGGCAAAGGCTGAACCAGCTGCACTGACCTGCACTGACAGCAAGCTGCTGCTCCCAGCTCCTTTCTTCAGAACAGAGAGTGAGAAAAAACCCTACAGTGTCAGTAATTACTGGAACCCCTGGCCTCTCTCCTGGAATTTACAGTACTTTTATTGGTAGGAAGATTGTGGGGCCTAGGAGGGGAAGCAAAAGATTTTAAAAATGTTCTGGTCACCTCTTAAGGTGTTCCTWGTTCAAAAGCAAAAAGACATTTTGGTATGTTTCTTTAAGAATAAGATACAGGTAAAGGAAGTAATGTAATGAGTTAGTGAAACAGTGATTCCTAGCAGTATGTTGATGCAAGTGTTTTTGKTTTTTTTTTTCATTGTTAAGGTTTTCTCTATGTATTTTCTGACCTTAATGTCAACATTTTGGTTTGAGGGTTTTACATTGTCTTCCTTCCTGAATGACATTGCTCATATGCTTCTGTACTTCTGCTTTTTTTTTTTTTTTTTTTTTTAGATAGTATTGAGTTATTGAGTTAGATGCCTGGATATAGATTATCCAGCATGGCCCAATGGCATGTATGTATCTAATATACCTAAGTTATTAGGGAAGTCCACAGTGGGCTTGTGAGCATTCTCCCAGACTTTTTGGGTAGATCCATGTTCTTGTGAAGTGGCAGCTGCAGATGGGTACTGCATCTTAGAGTGTCTAAAATGTCACCAAATTATAGGTTAAATTGCTTGTTTAGTGGTAATGACAGAGAAGGATGCAGAGAAGTTTCATCTGAGCAACCACGCCTGATGCACTGACTCTCTTATGCAGATATCTTGGCACTGGCGCTGGCTAGAAGCTTTGCAGAGCCAATTCAACCTGCCAGCCTTTCCTGACTTTTCTGAGCCTGCCTGGAAGGGCTGATACAGCACTGTGGGGCTCAAAGAGAATAATTGTCCCCACTAGGCCAGTGCATTTGGAAGCAGGAGCAAAGTGGAGGCTTTGGCAGAGTGGGACTGGGGCATCTCCTGCCCCAAGACCCTAATGTGCCCCAGTGGTGGGGTGATTTGCTAGAATGTCAGTGAGAAGCCTTTTTCAAGACTGTTTCCAGCCCA